AGCTGTAAAAGTCTGAAGATTCTGTGAAGGTCAGGGAGAGCAGGAAGGCATCTGTACTCTGCTTGTGTAGAGATAGGACCAGAACTCTAGATGAAACTCCTATTCTTTTTTGGAAACCTTTAGGAGGCAGTGGCTGACACGGAAGCCAGCAATAGCTATTTGAAAATTGGCCAGCACTTTTGCCATTTTCTTAGAGATGGAAGAAGTCTGCCTTAACTTTTTTTTTTTTTTTTTTTCAGAAGTGGACAAGTGAAGAGAAGAGAGAGAGAGAGAGAGAGAAAGGTCTTCCTTTTGCCGTTAGTTCATCCTCCAATGGCCGCCGCGGCCGGCGTGCTGCGGCCGGTGCACCGCGCCTATCTGAAGGCAGGAGCCAGGTGCTTCTCCTGGTCTCCCATGCAGGTGCAGGGCCCAAGCACTTGGGCCATCCTCCACTGCACTCCCAGGCCACAGCAGAGAGCTGGCCTGGAAGAGGGGCGACCGGGACTAGAACCCGGTGTGCCGGCGCCGCTAGGCGGAGGATTAGCCTAATGAGCCGCGGCACCAGCCTGCCTTGACTTTTGAGGACAGGTTGCTCTTTCCACAACAAAAGCAGCACTCCAGTTGGCTTTCTGGTTATGTGAAGGTGATGGGAAGCAGCTCCCTGCAAGCAGAAAGGTTGAATGCAATGATAAGCCACATTGCCTCAGTTTAAAGCGGACGTCTACAGTCAACTGGGAAAGTTGTCTTTCACTGGGTGGAATAGCAGAAAGTTTTGTTTGGGAGGGGGAACATAAGATGTCCCTCCCCCACCCCTCCCCCGCCCCTGTGGTGAAAGGAACTGTGCAGAAGGAGGCTTGGGATGTAAAGGCCCTGTCCACAGGCCACAGGTCATGGGCTAAGGAGAGAGGGAGAGGCCCAGCATGGCTGAGGCGTTTGGCTTGGTGGGATCTGCTCAGCGCTGGAGGAGCTTCTTGTGGGTTCAGCTTCTGGGGGACTTTGTTTACTGTTCCTGCCTGGGTGCTGGGACAGCACTGACAGGAGTGAAGTCAGGCCCTGTGGACAGAGTGAACTGGAGACCCAAGTCCAGAGAGCAGGGGCAGCATGGACACCTTGTCAGAGGCAGGGTCTGTTGCACCAATACCTCCTCCAGTCCTAGACAGAAAAGGTTTTGTCTTCCTCTCATCTCCATCCAGGGCTTGTCTCCCTGAAGCTGAATTTCCTGTCTGGGCCGATATCTTCCCTGGGATGATTGGCAGTGGTAACACCCATTCGCTGTAGGAGCAGCCCCTCTGCCACTTCCAGCAGTGTAGTTAGACTCAAAGGCCATCCCTAATAGCTGCCCTTGTAGATGAATGAATGACCTGGTTGGCTGGCAGTGGCCTTTGGTCCATGTTTTCACCAATGGGTTGATCCACGTGGCTGAGACCCTAAGGTCACGACATTTCTGTGCCCAGGATACTGGAAGAAATGACAGGTGACCTTCACCATCCCTTCAAGTGGCCTATCCCTGAGTTGGGTGTGGGAGAGTTAGCCAAGCCACTTGTCTTCCAACCCAGCTTTATCTGCAATAAAAATGGTATTTTGTGTTCCACCTCTGGAGCATTAAACATCATTTCATTTCTTAATCTGTTCAAGACCCAGGCAGAAAAAGTGAGAGTTTATTTTTCAGGTCTTCTCAAAACCACACTGGATCTGCCCAATGCCTTGCTCTAGCAAATTGGGGCAAATGACATTGTACCTTTATTTCTCCATCTACAATCTGGAGCTGTAGCCATGGCCACTGGATAAGGGTTTTAAAGGCGCTAAAAAAGATGTTAATTGCTGGCCCCATCCCCCTGATAATATCCTAATCACTGGTTGGCAGCACTTTCTAGGTCTTGCACGAGAACCTTGCCACCGTGACATGTTGATTCATTTTGCCTGGCGCCATATGCTCCGGCTGCTGTGAGCAGTGAAATTGCTCTCAGCCCTCAGTGCTGACTCCCGTGGCTGATTCACAGGGAAAGGCTCCAGTGCGGCGGACAGAAGCCCCACCTGTCTGTCTCCTGCGGAAGGAGGCCGGGCCCGCAGCGTGCTTCTTCCCTCCCGGTCACAGCCAGGACAGATATCCGGCTCTAGCTCTATGGCTACCAGTCAGGACGAGCTTTCTATCTCTGTGAAAAGAGCGGAGTCTCCACATGAGCTCACTTGCAGGACCTGTGTTGCACAATACCTTTGGTGTGCTGCTTTCACTTCTGGTTAATTTGGGTTTAGACCTGAGCTCTCCCTGTTTCCCCCTCGCTGTGTGATCTCAGGCCAATGACTTCTCTGAGTCACCTTTTCATCTCTGTACCGAAATTACCACAATACCTGGAGCAGCCTAACTTCACAGTGTAGGATTGGACAGACCCCATAGGTTTGGCCTCTGATGATGGTGTTCTGGATGGCATAGTCCCAAGGTCGGGTAGGGCACCACACGCAAGAGCCAGGGAGCGTGTATGTCTGTGTAGGTACATGTACCCTTGTAGAGCCACCAGGATTCCGCCAGGAAGGCTCTGTCCTCATGACAGTACAGCCTAGTTACCTCCCAAATGCCACACCTCTAAGAATCATCATTGGATCAGTCTCCACCCTCTTGGTACCATGGATACAAGACTTTGGGATTTAACATCCTGTGTGGTTTTTGGGGGCCAAGTCATACCCAAACTACAGCAGATAGAGTTTCTTCCACATGTAATGTGAGGCAAATACCCACCTTGTAGGGTTTTATGCAATTTTAACTTATCTGGGATAGGTGAAGCCTTCAGCACAGCACATGTTTGATCATAAGTGCTCAATAAATTGTAATGATTGTTTTCACTGGAGTGCCTATTCTTTGTATACAGAGCAATTATAAAGACTTTTAAAAAATTATTGCTGGTTTCTAACTAGAACACTTTTTTAAAAAAATATTTATTTGAAAGGCAGAGTTACAGTAAGGGAGGGGTCTTCCATCTACTGTCACTCACCAAGTGGCTGCAACAGCTGGAGCTGGGCTGATCCAAATGAAGTCTAGGAGCCAGGAGCTTCCTCCAGGTCTCTCACTCGGGTGCAGGGGCCCCAAGCACTTGGCCATCTTCCACTGCTTTCCCAGGCCATAGCACAGAGCTGGATCGGAAGAAGGAGCAGCCGGGACTTGAACTGGTGCCCATATGGAATGTTGGCATTGCAGGCAGTGGCTTTACCTGCTATGCTACAGCACCCGCCCCTGTAGAGGGGGCCTTTTAAAAACACTCTCATCTAGCCGGCGCCGCGGCACACTAGGCTAATCCTCCACCTTGCAGCGCTGGCACACCGGGTTCTAGTCCCGGTCGGGGCGCCGGATTCTGTCCCGGTTGCCCCTCTTCCAGGCCAGCTCTCTGCTGTGGCCTGGGAAGGCAGTGGAGGATGGCCCAAGTGCTTGGGCCCTGCACCCCATGGGAGACCAGGAGAAGCACCTGGCTCCTGCCATTGGATCAGCGCGCTGTGCCGGCCGCAGCACGCCAGCCGCGTCGGCCATTGGAGGGTGAACCGATGGCAAAGGAAGACCTTTCTCTCTGTCTTTCTCTCTCACTGTCCACTCTGCCTGTCAAAAAAATAAATAAATAATTTAAAAAAAAACCTCTCATCTTGCATTTCTAGCCCTCTAGAAGCTTGCTCCTTAAAGGAGGGTCCTTGAAACAGCAGCTGTTTGTCATTGGCAGAGAAAACATGTGTTGCTAATAAAGCATCTAAAACATGCTAAAGTGTTCAGGTGTATTGCCAGCCTTAGGTTAGCTGTTGATTGAGCTGCTGGAGACAGTGTCCTTATGGAAAGAATTTCATTAAAATCAGCCTTGGTGGAGACTGCCATATTAAAAGAGAATTCCTAAATGTAAAGTAACAGTCCACTGTGAAGGAAACTTAGGCAGAGACGAATGTTTCAGTAAGTCGGATGAGTTGGCAATTTGCTTTTGTGTGTGTATGTCTGTATCTGTCTATAGCTACATATGTGAGAGTCCTTCAAAAAGTTCGTGGAAAGTAGAGTTAAAAGGGCTATTTTGATGCAAAACATTTTTGAAATCCATACATAGTTTTATTCTTTCTTATTTTTTAAAAAAATTTATTTATTTATTTGAAATTATGGTTACAGAAGGAGAGGAAGAAACACAGAGAGAGAGAGAGAGAGAGAGAGAAACTTCTATCTGCTGGTTCACTCCCCAGTGGTCACAATAGCCAGGGCTGGGCCAGGCCAAAGCCAGGAGCCAGGAGCTTCTTCCAGGTCTCTTATATGGGTGCAGGGACCCAAGCATCTAGGCCATCTTCTGCTGCTTTCCCAGGCCACCAGCAGGGAAGTTTTTTTCATACTGTGCATTTTCCATGAATGTTTTGAAGACCCTTCGTATATGTTGAGTAAGACACCAGGTAACAGTAGCTCTTCCATGATGGAGGCATGTGGTTGGGGACAGGAGAGGCAGTGCAAAAGTATTCTGGATTCTACTCTCAATGAATTAATGAGCACATAAAGAGTGATCTCAAAGCAGCTGGAGATTAAAACAACATACAACTGTAGAAGCAGTGGCCAGCACGCTGCCCGAGTGGGCTGTCCCAACGGTGAACACTGTTGGAATTCCGGACAGGGGATGCCACTGCTCAGGGGACAGCTCCTGGCCACACTGGCTCACCTGCTGGACCATGTATGTGCCAGCCGTGCTTCCGCATCAGGACTGTTGCTTTTCTTGCGGCCTGGAGCACTCTCCACTGCTGGAGGGCCTGTTCCTTGTGTGCGTGGCTCTCTCCCTCCAGAGCTCTCTGCTCCAACGTCCTCTTCTCCAGGAGGACCATTCTGTTTACACTGACAAGCTCTCCCCTCCCCCACCCCCTGCTCCCTGATTTCTTTCTCTGCTGCATTTTTCTCTGTAGTATTTATCACCAACTGCATGGTTCATATTTTCTCATGTATTTATTTATTGTCTGTCTTCTCCAGTGGCATGTAAATTTGTGAAGGCTTGGATTTTTTTTTTAATTTTTTATTATTTATTTGACAGAGTTAGACAGTGAGAGAGAGACAGAAAGGTCTGCCTTCCATTGGTTCACTCCCTAAAGGGCTGCTACGGCCGGCGCACTGCGCCGATCCGAAGCCAGGAGCCAGGTGCTTCCTCCTGGTCTCCCATGTGGGTGCAGAGGCCCAAACACCTGGGCCACACTGCCTTCCTGGGCCACAGCAGAGAGCTGGAGTGGAAGAGGAGCAACCAGGGCTAGAACCTGGCACCCATATGGGATGCCGGCGCTGCAGGTGGAGAATTAACCAGGTGAGTCACGGTGCCGACCCCCAGGGGTAGATTTTTATTTGTTTAGTCCCATGTTCTAGTTCTAGTCCCTGGAATATTTCTGGCACATAGCAGGGGCTCAATAGCTATTTGGTGAATGAGTGGTCACTTTAAATGCTTTCTCTCTTATTTTCATAGAACCCTGAAAGCCAGTGAATGTATTTTAGAGATGAAGCAGCCAAGATGTGGATAGTTATGTGGTAAGTTGTCCATAATCATGGAAGCTTGTAATGAACTTTGTCATGAACTGACAGATGTCAGGGAGGGGGCTCCTGGGTTCTGTGATTCACGCTAGCGAGTTGTTGAAACGAGGGGGTGGGGTGGTGGGAATTGCTGACTGATAGCCAGCTCATCAGAGGAACGGGGTCCTCCTACTTGCCACCAGCATCTGGAGTGAGGGCAGTCTCCCAGGACTGCACCTTCCAGTGTCTGAAGTCTAATGCTTCCCCGGAGTCAGTGTAGGATTGAACGGAAGTGTGGGACACCTCGTCAAGGTTGGAGAGGAGTGGTAGCAGAAAACACACCATGTATTTGATGTCAGGAAAGAAAACTCCCAGTGATCAAGGTGGGAGTGTGGATTCTCAGACACACCCATCAGTTCTTCCTCATTTTAGTAAACACCATCTCCACCTGTCCAGTTGTTCAAGGCAAAGACATGGAGCCATTCTCAACTTCTTCCTTTCATTCATCTCCCTCACTTAGTCCACCAATAAATCCAGTCAGTTCTACTTCCCTAACAAGCCACCTCTCCCGACACTGTCCTGGTGCAGCCATCATTACCTTGCATCTGGATGATACCTTTTCTTTTTCTTAAAGATTCATGGTTTATCTGAAAGAGTTACAGAGAGAGAGAGAGAGAGAGGGAGGGAGAGGGAGGGAGGGAGAGAGAGAGAGATCTTCCATCCACTGGTTCACACCTCAGATTGCTGCAATGGCCAGGGTTAGTCTAGGCCAAAGCCAAGAGCTGGGAGCCTGGGAGCTTCTTCCAGGTCTCCCATGTGAGTTCAGGGGCCCAAGCACTTGGGCCATCCTCCACTCTTTTTCTCAGGCCGTTAGCAGGGAGCTGGTTCAGAAATGGAGCAGCTAAGACTCTAACTGGCGCCCATATGGGATGCCAGCGTGACAGGGGGTGGCTTTACCACTATGCCACAATGCTGGCCCCTGGGTGACTCTAGTAGAGCTCTAAACAAGCCCATCTGCCCCCTCAGTTGCCCCGTCATTCATCCTCCTCATCGCTGACAGCAGTGGCAGAAAGCTCTGCACTGCCACGCTGGGAACATGAAGAGGGCTCCTGCAGCGCCGGCACTGCTCCTCGGAGGCCTTGGCTGCAGCCTTCATCGTGTTGCTCTCTCTGCAAGGATCTCATTCTGCCCACTGCTCTTGCTTTTATTTTTTCTTTTTGGAGGACAGAGGCTCAGAGGGACAGAGAGAGCGAGAGTGAGAGCGAGAGCAAGAGAGTGAAGGGACAAGCTCTTAGCCACTGGTTCAATGCTCCGAAGGCCCACAATGGCCAGGGTGCTGGATCCTGGAACTAGGAGCTGGGAACTTACTCTAGGTCTCATATGTAAGTGGTAAGACCCCAATCACTTGAGCTATCGCCTGCTGCTTCGCAGGGTCTGCGTTAGCAGTAAGCCTGAATTGAGAGCCAGAGCTGGGAACTGAACCCAGCACTCTGATGTGGGATGTGGGCATCTAACCCAACATCTTAACCACCGCTCCAAATGCCCACCTTGAACTTGCAGTTTTTGATGGTACTTAATTTAGGCTGCTGAGCAAAATTCCGGAACTTCGAGCCAGATTGTCCTTTTTGGATGATCCCTGTGCCTTATTAACTTAGGAGGGTCCCATCTGTGCAGAGCAACTTCATTGCTCCTATAGCATCACAAAATGTAAAATAGATTCATATAAAAAGCATCATTCAGAAGCTAATTGTTTAGTCTGGTATAGACTGTTTTCTTATGTTCCAGCTTGGTTCCCTTTGTATTAAAGCTGTAAGGACTGACTGGCTGTGGCCAGGGCTGCAAAGCCTTAGCTCCTTGAACTGTAGGACTGGGCAGGGGCCACTGTGCGCTGTTAGGGAAATGCACTAGGGTCAGCAGCCTGGCTGAGCCACATGCGTCTGCTTAGAATGGGGACCCGTGAAAGGAACACAAGAGACAGCTGAAAACCGCTGAGTTCCTCCTGCCTGGCTTCTCTTCACCTGTGATTCTGGACAAGTAACCAGCGATAAGCAGGGTGTTCTGGGAAGGACTCACACAAGAACCCCTCGCCTCTGCAGGGCCCTACTGGTTTTGAAGCGTTTTCTGTCACGTTTGAATCTTGACACAGCAAGGTCCTTATTTTCATTGAAAGCTGTGGAAAGTCATGGCTGAGAGAATGGGGAACCTGTCCACTGTCACGTAATTGAACAATCTGAACCTGGGCTTGAACCCAGGTCTACAGACTCTCATTTTCTTTCTGTTATTCTAAGGACAAAAACCAGAGTTCTTTGTGTGGGCCAACTTTGAGTGATTCATAGGAGTTTCCTGGAGTGGAAGCTCACACATTTGTTGTTGTTTTAGTCTGAAAACTGTGAACTGTTTATCACCTAAAAAGTTACACAGGCAATTCCAGTTCAAGGTGACAAACTAGGTTTAAAGTGCTATATTAAAAAACAAAACAAAAATACAATTCATTTTAGGGCAACTTAACATTTCATTTTTAAAGAAATTATGCTAAGGGGCCGGTGCCGTGGCTCACTTGGTTAATCCTCCGCCTGTGGCGCCAGCATCCCATATGGGCGATGGGTTCTAGTCCTGGTTGCTCCTCTTCCAGTCCAGCTCTCTGCTGTAGCCCGGGAAGGCAGTGGAGGATGGCCCAAGTGCTTGGGCCCTGCACCCTCATGGGAGACCAGGAGGAAGTACCCGGCTCCTGGCTTCAGATTGGTGCAGCGCGCTGGCCGTAGCAGCCATTTGGGGGGTGAACCAACGGAAGAAAGACCTTTCTCTCTGTCTCTCTCTCACTGTCTATAACTCTACTTGTCAAATAAAAAATTTAAAAAAGATGCTAAAAAGAATGAAAACAGCAAGTATGATTTTCATTCTATAATTGTTCACATTTGTTCTTTTCGTCTCAATATTGTCTTTTTCAGAACATGACAGCTTAGCTGGTCAGATTTATTCTGAAGACATTTATCTACATTTGACCAGAGGTTTCAGAGGCTACTCTACCAGATGGCTGGTCTTAGTGCTCTTATGTTAACTGTGAACATTACTTTCTAGTCACACCTCTCCTATCTTCCTTAAGACCTGCATAGACTTGTCTTAAGTATGTTAAACACCTGTAAGAAGCTACAGAGTTTATGAGTGGTAGAAGTACTCTGGTTAATGATCAAAATGGTGTGGCCAGAGGATTAATAAGCATTGTCAATATGAATACTGTTAGATCCTCTGAGTGAGGATGCTAACATGTCGAGAGGCATACCCCAAAGACTCAGAGTCCAGACCAGCCGATGCAAAAGCAAGAGGATTTATTCGGCATCTGCACAGACGGGCCTCCTGAACTCGGGAGTCCAGAGAGCGCCCCCAGTACAAAGCCACACGGTTTATATACCCGCAGCGACCAATCAAAAGCACTATAGTGTCCATGCACACAGCAGTCCAATCCGCGAGCTGATCATGTGAAAGGCATGCGTCCTCTAGCCAATCAGCTACGGGATCACATGGGAGGCATGCACCTCGTCGCCATTTTGTTATTTACTTCTTTAGCAGCTCCTTTCCCTGTCAGCGTCATCTTGTTCACCCTGAGGGGGACGATGTCTCGCTCTCTTTGTTCCCCTGGCAGGAGAGTGGCGTCCCGCTTCCCACACCGTTATTTGAGTATTAGGAGGTACACAAACTGGGTTAGGTCTTAGCACAGCCAGGCACAAGTGTCGCAGCTAGCTAAGCATAGTGTCCCTTATTTTTATAGCTGCACCTAATTTCAGCTCTGGGGGAAAAAGTTTAGGGCTATAATTTTTAAACTTTAATTTTATTTGGGGCAAAGGTGACTTCTTGTTTTTAATAGTGTTAGCTTAAGTCACTCCATCTTGGTTTGATTTTTAAGGTTCTTCAAATACAATTCTTATAAACGCAAAGTGAGTCATTCTTTTCTCAATAAAAGAGCCAATCCAAAAAAGATCTCATTCTATAAAGATTTATCATTTCTAAATACAGTGACAAGAACTGGAGTACTTTACCAATTTTGTTTCCTGCTACGTGCCTTAGATACCTTATTCAAAATTGGTGTTGGACACAACAGAATGACATTTGCAGAATGTAATATTGTAATGACAGTACTGAGGTAGATTGTGACATACTGTTAGAGCAGTATGAAATGGCTACATCTTAATTATTCAAATAGAACATTGATCCGATAACATAGAGAACAGCATCTGGAAACCTATTTCAGTGTTCACATAAAAAGTTAATCATTCTTCCCATCATTTTGTGCAGATAAGTCCTTGTTCACGCTGAAATCTGATGGCATTCACATTTGGGCCTTTGCTATCGTATGAAGAGGATGCTGAAGGCCATCATGATAGCACATTCACAACATAAAGTCTCTTCCATTCACTTCCAGAATATACCCAGCAGTCCAGTTTTATTTTTGCCCAGCAGGCTGGACAAAATACCTAGGACAGGATATAAGCACAGGTGCATATAGGCAGCAAGACTACATTCAACAGACTCTGAAAATTGAAAATGGCAGACACAGTGACGCTGGCGGTGCCTTTGCCAGCTCACTCATCCGGGCCCAGGGAGGAAGAGGTGTGTGCCCAGGTGTGGTTTGAGGCCACTGATGGGCTTTGTGGGAGTGTCCTGATTGATTGGTAACGTCTGCCACTGGTGAGGGAGGGTATGTTAGGAACAGTTGCAGATTGGTGCCTCCTCACATGGGGCACCAATATATTAGGAAAAGGGGTGCAGAATAAAGAGGCAGTTTACGAATTTATAGCCAGACTGAATTTATTCAGAGAAAGTAAATCCGCAGAGGTGGGTGACCAACTGCCCATGTGTGTACAAGATGGAGATGTGGCAGAAGGCTGGGACCCCCAGGTGTTGGGCC